TAAGTAGCAAAGTAAGAATTAAATATTTTATGGAGGTATGGCTAATGATGACTAGTGTCTTTTTAGAATCTTATTATAGCATTTATTATTTTTTTAATTAGATTCTATTTTTATATTTTCAGTTTTCATTTTAATTTTAGTAATTTTGTGTTTAGTTTAATTATGTGCTTTTGCCATTTTTTTTGTATATTTTTATATTTCTATTTAGCTTAAATTTATTTTTGTTTCAGTTTTAGTAATTTCAGTAGTTCAACTTAGTTCCCTTTCGTGGAACTTCGAACTGCGTCCTCTAGGGGTCGCTATGGGGAACGCCTCGTCGTGGCCCATGTCTGAAGCCTACATTGAAAGTCGGGAGTAATGTCACTGACAGCAGTCTAAGTCCAGACAGGGGCAACTCCCATAGCGATATGGTGTAGTTGGTACTTAGTGGCTCGCCATGGTTCTGGCTTACACTCCCCTCAGCATGGCGGCGTGGGTATACCATGCCCCATAGCGACCCCTAGAGGACGCAGTTCGAAGTTCCACGAAAGGGAACGTCTTGGGTTACTTATGTAACCATGGTTCCCCGAGGGGAACGAGACACTGCATCCTCTAGTTTTTGTGCCATGCTGCGGACACAAGCTTCAGACGAAGAAGTGATGATGTGCGCTACCTATTTTGTACTAGTTGCGACGGTAGTGACGTCATGGCCGGCCAAACAAGTTGGTGTTTTTTTTCAATGTAGGCTTCAGACATGGGTCACGACGAGGCGTTCCCCATAGCGACCCCTAGAGGACGCAGTGTCTCGTTCCCCTCAGGGAACCATGGTTACATAAGTAACCCGAGACGTTTTTCATCTAATATTTATACTTTAATTTATTCGAATATATGTGATATGAATATATGAAAATATATATATGTGACCCTAGACCACAAAACCAGTCATAAGGGTCAATTTCTCGTACACTGTTAGACTTTGCTGTAATTTTACATTTATTTACCGCAAAAAAGCACAGTAAACTACCATATATGTGTTTTACGGTTAACTCCTGTAATATGCACTGCATTATGGGTATTTTTATGCAATTTACAGTAATTTACTGTATATGGGAATCTTCGGTACTTTACTGTTTGCTCAAAAGCAGTAGTGCTACTGTAAATTGTTCTGCTGATGAAAAACATGAATCTGCATTCTCAATTTAATGCCTGGGTAAGCACAAGTGTGGTGAAATAAATGTATTTTTAAAATGATTAAAAAATAAAATATATAAACTTTGCTTACACCCCACAAAATTTTAATTTTATTCGCGCAAAGCCCGCGCAACAACCTGGCAGAGGTTATATAAACTGAGGCTTGTGTCCAGTGCGCGCATTACGGACTTCCCCTCTGAGTGAATCGCCAGACGTCAGCTGTGGTAAGTAGCCTACTTTTCACTTACTTTTAAAACGTAAACCATTATCAATATCAATGAAATTTAAAAATATGAAGAAAGTAAATTTAAAATCTAATTATAGGCTATTACTAGGACAGTCTGAGGCAAATGTTCGTTTTCCTCAAAAACTGCCGCTTTCATGAAACTCATTCAATTGTCCTGCAACTGACTGACTGGTAAGTAGCCTACTTTTCACTTACTTTTAAAAAGTAAACCATTACCAATATCAATTACATTTTAAAAATACGAAGCAAGTAAATATAAAATCCAATTATAGGCTATTACTAGGACAGTCTGAGGGAAATGTTCGTTTTCCTCAAAAACTGCCGCTTTCATGAAACTCATTAAATTGTCCTGCAACTGACTGACTGCCTTTTCCAGTACAGATGTCTAGTATTTACACGAACAATGATTTTTCGACTTTTTTACTGCTGGTTATGGTATATTTTACTCGTCAGTTAAATGAATACCGTTAAATGTGTGACGTCATTTGAAATAGCATGAGCGCTCTCTCTCGCTCTTGTGTGTGCGTTCTCTCTCGCGCTCTCTCTCTCTCTCTCTCTCGTAAATAAAACATTTACGCCAGTGCATATACCAGAGAAAAAAATATATATTTTCAAGTAAAATTATAATCAATTAATTCAAGAAAGAAAATGCATTCTTTATTATGGCTTGTTGTTTGTTAATAGAAGCAAGGTCTCATCAAAGTCAGTATTCTCTTAAGTTTCATATTAATTATTTTTTACATTTTATTGTATATATTCTCTTCTCTCTTTTTTCAGTGTTGATTGTAATCTGATTGTGTAAGTTATCAATCTAGCAGTCATTCTAGATCTATGATTTATCATGTTCATAACATATAGTGATTAGTCAATAATAATAAATATGTAAATAATGATTATTCTTTTTCTCTCTTTTTCTCTCTGCACCCCAAAGGCTATTTTAGGAGCCACAGCACTGAGCATCTTTGGCTTTGTAAGTAAGTTTGAACTATCAGCTGCAGTATGTGACATTAGATTAACTGCAGCTATGACAGAAATGTCTGAGATGTTTTGACATATATATATATATATATCGATACAGATTTCATAATTCCATTTGATTCACAAGCTCTTAATTCAGTTCTGACCTTGATTCAATTCAGTTTGATTCACAATTATTCTTATTCTCTTATTCGGATTCCATATGATTCCAGTTTCCATACGATTTAATTGGATTAAAATATTTCTGAGAATTTGATGACGGCCATTTATGTACCTTGATTTAGTATTCATTTTGGTTATTATCCTGTATTCTTCAAGAGTACTTCTAGATTGACTCAAAAGCCTGTTTTGCTCTAATATTTACAAACAATACAAATGTTACAGTAGCTGATACACACTGATATTCCTTGGATCAAGAGCGGTCACAACTAAAAAGATACTTTAAAAAAAAAGTTTAAGTTTGAAGGACCATAAAGTTACTCATTGTACCTCTTTAATGTGATTGTACATTCAGGCAATTAATGTAGTTCCCTGACAAGGATGTGCAAAAAAGCAATAGTGTTTACACAGTACTATACTGGGAATAACTGCTGTTGCACAAGTTGTTACCTTGTCTGTCCATGAACAAATTTAGATGAGATAAACTCATGACCATTTCTCACACATTTCCCCTCTGTTTTGTTTCAGATCAGCTGTCGGTGGTTATGGAGGCCATGCAGCCAAGACCAACTGGGATGCTTGTTGCCATATTTCTTTTTGTTGCAATATTGTCATGATCTCTGCTTTGATTTGTTGTTATGAATTCAGTTCTCTATTTTTTTATTATAATACTGACAGTGAATAAAAAATATACTGTTGTACATGGACTCAGGTCACTTATTTGGAATTTATTCAATTCAATGGTATTCATGTAAAATATTCAAAGGTTTTATCAAATAAATAGTGAAAAATAAATTACAGTAAAATTACTATAATATCATTATACTGTAAAACTAAGTTACAGTAAGGATATAAGGATATAGTACTGTAAAATTAAGTTGCAGTAAGGGTTTTTCACTGTAAATTTAAATTGCGGTAAGGCCATCATACTGTAAAATGAGATTGCGGTAAGGGCATTATACTGTAAAATGAACTTGCGATAAGCTACTGTAAAGGGGTAGTTACAGTAACTTACTGGCAATAGTGCTGCCAGTAATTTACCGCAAAAATACGATAAAAAGTCTAACAGTGTAATTGAACGTATAACAGACAGGATTTAAAGGGGTCATATGATGCAATTTCAAGTTTTCCTTTCTCTTTGGAATGTTACAAGCTGTTCGTATAAGATCCCTAAAGTAGCAAAGACTAAAGTCTCAAACCCAAAGAGATATTCTTTATAAAAGTTAAGACTCGTCCACGCTGAATAAATAAGCTTTCCATTGATATATGGTTTGTTAGGATAGGACAATATTTGGCTGAGATACAACTATTCTGGAACTATTCTGAAAATCTAGAATCTGAGGGTGCAAAAAAATCAAAATATTGAGAAAATCGCCTTTAAATTTATCCAAATTAAGTCCTTAGCAATGCATATTACTAATTAAAAATTAAGTTTTGATATATATACGGTAGGAAATTTACAAAGTATCTTAATGGAACATGATCTTTACTTAATATCCTAATGATTTTTGGCATAAAAGAAAAATCGATAATTTTGACCCATACAATGTTTTTTTTGGCTATTGCTACAAATATACCCAAGCGACTTAAGACAGGTTTTGTGCTTTAAGGGGGTCTGAATACTTTCCGTACCCACTGTATATTGTTATATCGTTTTAGTTAACAATACTGCTAAGGTCCCATATTTGATTCTGCCTACTATATATTATCCTGATTAGAAAACACACTAGTAACATATGGCACATTCTTAATTTCCAAGTCACAAGTGATTGCATTATGCATTCACTATTGGGGGACCAAGGATCATCTTTTGTTTGCCTACTGGTTATTTGGCATCAAATACATTTCCTGAGAGGCTGTGAGACTGAATATTTAATACCCTATCTAAAATCAAGTGACCACCCTCTCTGGCACACACACCCAAATATAAACTCAAACACTCACACCACATAAGACAAAGGCAGGAGGCAGTTTCCAGGGATTTGTGAGCCAGCTACTGGATCACAAATTATTCATTAGTGGTGAAAAGTGTGAAAAGCGCCTCTGTTCACAATGTCCATATTTAATCTCATCTGGTTTCCCTGGAAACTTGTGTATTCTGTAGCAACACTTATTTCCAATTCCAATGTCTCTTCTTCTTTCACCATAATAAGAAACACATGCATAGGCACTTAAAGCAACACATACAATGTACTAATAATTATTAAAAATATTAGAATCATATTTGCTTATTTTGCACACAATATGCAAAAGCATCAAAGATTATACAGTTGTGATATAACCATGAGCAAGACAGTGTGGGTGTCATTTTGACTTCTTTGCCCTCTGTGTCTCTTCCAAAGCTTGCAATTTATTCCTCTGACATGATCGAACATGATCAAATTATATCTAAGCATCATGAGTGATGCAGTTTCTCCTGCCTTGAAACGGAATGGTTTTCAGCCTTACCTTCCAATTAGTTGGAACTCTCCAGAAACCCCACGGCGCTGCATGGCCATCAGCAGGCCACGAACAGTCATTCCTTCACAGAAGCAGAGGACCACGCGGGCTTTGGGGAGACGCTCCCGCAGTTTCTTAAGCAGACGGTCAAAGTGCTTTTCGCCAGCATTACTGTATATCTTATCAGAGTGGGCGATACATAGACCTTCCTCTGCGGCCAACTCCTTAAAGGCCTCCATGCCACTCTCTCCATAGTTACCTGACAGAAAATGTAGGATGATTAATAAAGGATACGCTAAAACACATACGAAACTAATCAAAGACACAGAATGGAGGATGGATTACCGCTATTGATCCAACACCTGTCAGACCAGTCAGAGCCCAGGATAAGAAATGGATGACAGTTGACTATGGAGGACACAAAATGACAGGCAGACAGGCAACTGAAAAACATGAAATGGAGAAATGGTCACCACCATTTCGGATACAAATGGCGTCATACAATTAGAATGAGAAACACAGAAAAAACAAAAAACACATAAATGCCTTTTTGGAATACTTGAATCTGACGGGTTGAGCACAGCATTCTATAATCAAATATTTTTTTGTATAATCACTGATAAGCTGCAACAGATTTTCTACATAGCTATTCTTAAACGGATAGTTCACCCAAAAAATGAAAATCATGGCATCATTTACTCGCCATCATGTCATTCCAAACCTTTATGATTTCAGGACACAATAGAAGATAAATACATGTGTTTTTTAAATCTCAGTGCTTCTTTCCCCCCATACAATGAAAGTCAAACGTGTTTTGGACCCCATTGACATTTAATTGTACATACAAAAACAGTTGAAACATTCTTCAAAAACATCAACATGTGGGTGAGAAAATGACAGAATTTTCATTTTTGGGTAAACTATCCCTTTAAGTAACTCATATCCCTCTTCTTCTCATATTTCACAATGATGTGTTTATTTATTGTGTAAGAAGCCAAAGCAATAAATGCCTTCATAGTGATTCAAGACCTGATCACCCCGTCTGGGTTTATTTTTCAGTAAGGACCAGCTGACTGAACATTATCCTTTAATTATATTCCACAGGCATTGTACTGTAACTAAACAAGTAGGACACCAATAATTCTTTGTGACGCTCTTGAAAATTACTGCAAATTACCATGATAGGTCACTTGAACATTCTGTGTCCTTTTCAAAATATTGTATGAAACAGAAACGGGTCCGTACAAAAGGTGCAGGCTCACAATGTTACACTTAAAACATCTTCTGTTCCATCCAACGTCTGGGCTGCCAGGCGAAATTTACATCTCATTGTGCAGGCAGCAGAGGTCACTGCTGTTGACTGTGCTCAGGAGAAGAACAGTGCTACTGTCTAATCAGGAAAGATGAGTGGTGTGTGGTCACTGATGACTGTCTGGAGGTCAGTCTCTGTAGTGTGGGTGTGCGGGTAACAATTCAAGCACATTTACTGTTCTGTGGCTCTCTAAGAATTCCTTTTTACTCTGTTTACCTCTTTCTTTATGTTGTTTGGAACAAATGTATTTGCAGGTTTAGGTTTCTCTCTTACTAGCTTACTTCCTTTTTCTCTTTCTGACTAAAAATACAGTGTTTGTATCATTGTCTTTTAACTCTTTGTCATTTTTAAAGGTGTCTCATTTTAGCTTTTCTGCTTACTATCATAAAGCTCTGGAAAAAAAAAAGTGAGTTAAGATACCAAACTCAAATGAACTTAACATTGTATCCCAAACACTCAATCTTTTCATTCTTTGTTAGATTATGTGAGCCTGCTTTGAAACAAATAGTTCAGCTAAAAAAGGAAGCTAGTCTGATGTTAGTGATGTCATCCTGATGTCATATTTGATCCATAAAGTTAAAATATATGAATATCCTACAAAAGAGAGGTACCACAGGTAGAGTGTTAAATAAATCTAATACTCAAAGTTCACTGCTCTGTTGTTTTGGTGATAACTAATTGCCGACTTGGCTGTTTTTTTTTTGGCACTTTTTTTTGTGCCTGTTTAAATATGGCCATTAAAATGTTCCTAAACTAGAGACATTTAACCGAATTTATATTTGGCCGTGTAATTAATGTAATCAAAGATCTCTGCTGTTACTATGAGCAACAGGCAGTGTTGTCCGAGACAGTCTCTCCTGAGAGAGAAAAGTCATCTTACTAATTATTTATCAGCAAACCAACAGAGCAGTGAACTTAGAATTAGCATTATATTGCTTATTTAAATTTGTCTAAAGGTGCCCCTTTATAAGATATTCAGATTTTTTAACAAATACTTGTTAGAAGTATGTAGAGGTGTCAAAGTCTATTAATATGAAACAAGGAGGACATCACTAACAAAAAAACTTAGTTACATTGTGTTTTATTTACTAAAGTATGCTTACAGTAACCTAAAGAGCATATATACCAAGTCATTTTTTACCTTATTTACTTTTAATTCCATCAGCTATAATGGAACAGAATTAAAACAGTATCAGAAAAAAAAGTGATGTGGCCCATGAGGACATTAATCATCTCAATGTGTGGTTTAACAGACAAGCTTTCCACCTCTGGACATTCTATATACAAATCACCTACTGAATTGAAAGTGATACACACAACAATGCTAGAGGGAGCAACAAAAACTGTGTATGTTGTGGGAAGGGAAGGGAAAAATACATTATTACCCTTATTATGTATGGAAAAACTGACTGAGTCATTAAAGCATGCTTCCATATGCAAATAATAAAAGGTCTTTTGGTCCACTCGCACTACAACTCTAATGGGAGTGAATTATCATTTAGGTACATTTAAAGAGTGGTGCAATCATTACCTTCAAATTACAGTTTTTCCAATTGTTTTTACTTAATTAAAAACGTTAACACTTAAAGGGGCCATATGACGTTGCTAAAAATAACATTATATTGTGTATTTGGTGTAATGCAATGTGTTTATGTGGTTTAAGGTTAAAAAAAACACATAATTTTCCACATACTGTGCATTATTGTTGCTCCTCTATGCCCCGCCTTTCTGAAACGCATCGATTTTTACAAAGCTCATCATTCTGAAAAGCGAGGTGTGCTGTGATTGGTCAGCTATCCAGTGCGTTGTGATTGTCCGAATACCTCAAGCGTGTGATGGAAATGTTACGCCCCTTACCATACTGTGATGCCGTGTCCCGGAGCGACAAGACAAGAAACATTAAAACCCATCATAAACGAGGCATTTGTTGCATCCAGTGGGGACATAATTACTGATTATAATGACTTATACTGTCTTTTTATGCGTTGCGTTGCGTATTGCGCCGCGTAAACATAAAACCATGTCTGCATTTGTGATCGGAGAAACGACAAACAACAAGCGCTACTCTACACTGGTCAAAACTCGCGTTTGAATCATCAGTGGCAAATCCTTTAAATATGAAAGTGTACTTACAGGCTGAGTCAGAAGCGCCAGACTGTCCTTGCAAAGTTGGAATTGCCCCACTTTATAGAAACAGCCTTTGTGCACTGAAGGCATTGTAGGTTACTCTCCCAGGTTCAGGAAACAGTCTTCCATAAAATGTGCTGCCCACATCGGAATATTTGGGTTGAACTGTTCTGGAACAGTGTTGTAAATACAACTTAACCACTGATTTCTAGTTGTGTCCTCTTTTGGAAGGCCAAACAAAGTAGTTTCGCTTTCACAACAAAACACAGCGTCTTTACGACATGGCGGCGGCAGTAACAATACTACAGCGAGAATCAAAGTTACGCCTCCTTTCTTTGCGTGAACATTTGGGCGGTGTTATGCAAATCTTCCCACACAGTGACGTAGACATGTGGGTGCGTGTTTGAACGAGGCGTTTTAGGAGGGCGTGGACGAGTCTTAACTTTTATAAAGAATATCTCTTTGGGTTTGAGACTTTAGTCTTTGCTACTTTAGGGATCTTATACGAACAGCTTGTAACATTCCAAAGAGAAAGGAAAACTTGAAATTGCATCATATGACCCCTTTAAATCCTGTCTGTTATACGTTCATGCTTTTATATTCAAAGTCAGACTTGCACAACCTTATCATTCTGTCAATCTAGAGAGTGTTATAACATGGAGTCTAATCAATCAGAAATAAGCTACAATGGTGAAATCACTATCATACCAGCACCCTCTTAACGTAATAGCAGTTGTTGTAAGATTTTAAGTCAAATTTCATGTCTGGCTTATAGCTGTTAAATGACAGAACAATTTTGATCGGTAACATCCACATGATCTCCATGTTTAAAAAATAAGAAATCTGGTCACAGCTGACCGGACAGGGAAGGCTGTAACAATGTGCTTCTACTGGACTCACAAATATTCAGTGTTGGGGAGTAACTAGTTACATGTAACGGAATTACGTAATTTAATTACAAAATAAAAGTAATTGTAATCAGTTACAGTTACTGAGAAAAAATGTGTAATTAAATTACAGTTACTTATTCAAATGTTAAGGATTACAAAGGGGGTTACATCTGCTTTTTTTCACACACACTCCCACATACAGATTTAATTGATTTCTTTCATAAATTGCAGTGACTGCTTTAAAATATGAAACACCAATGTTTTAGGAGTTTAGAACATGCTTATTCAATAACTCTATTATTTCCTATATGGGTTTATGCATATTAGCTATGCTTCATTTTTTAAAGATTAACTGTTTTTTTCCAAGGCATTGTTAGATTCCAGTGTTTACTGTCACAGCTATGTAAAGATTTGATTCGAAAAACAGTATCATAGCTAATAAAATATTTATTGTTATTATTTTAAATATGTATTTAACCTCAGAATGATCTCAAAGTAAGTCTGATTTTGTGGTGGCTGTGCTTCAAAGGGGACATTGATCTTCCACAAGTTGGTATGATTCTTTAGGGTCTTTATGAACTCAGTTAAAATTCCTCAGTGGTCATGTAAAACAAACAACACTCTTTTTACCTTGCTCTGATCACAGCCACTCATTTTGAGGCATGTCCCTTTAAATGCTAATGAGCTCTGCCCACCCGCCCCTTTCTTCCTTGGAAGAGCAAAGGCGATTTGCAAATAATCATAAAAAATATAAAGTGTGAGACTTATTTCTTCTGGAGATGCAGCTGGATCACGAACACTGGGTACTGATCTATCCTTGAATTTGAACTTTTTAACAAAACCTGCCTTGAATTGTCCCTCATTCAGAAAGCAGTCTGGAGTAAAATTATTTACGCAGACATAAACGAATTTAGGTGTATTCAGTGGCACATTACCATTAAAAACAAAACTAATGCACTGCGTCCTAAGTGGCGGTTGTGGGCGGGGCCTGAACAATATGACATCATACTGCTCAGAAAGACTGTTTGGGATTTTGGGGGATTAAAAAAAAGGAGTGAATGGATTTTTATCATTGTAGGGTGGTTGTGTTCACACACTGCTAAGATACATTTATATGCAAACACCATGTAAAAGTGAATTTTGCATCCAATGTCTACTTTAAAATTTAAATATGTGGCCCTGGACCACAAAACCAGTCATAAGGGTCAATTTTTTAAAATTGAGATGTATACATCATCTGAAAGCTGAATAAATAAGCTTTCCATTGATGTATTGTTTGTTAGGATATAGGACAATATTTGGCCGAGATACAACTATGAAAATCTGGAATCTGAGGGTGCAAAAAAATCAAAATATTGAGAAAATCGCCTTTAAAGTTGTCCAAATGAAGCAATGCATATTACTAATCAAAAATTAAGTTTTAATATATTTACAGTAGGACATTTACAAAATATTTCCATGGAACATGATCTTTACTTAATATTCCAATGATTTTTGGCATAAAAGAAAAATCAATAATTTTGACCCATACAATGTATTTTTGGCTATTGCTATAAATATACCCCAGCAATTTAAGACTGGTCTTGTGCTCCAGGGTCACATATAATCTTAATTCAAGTGATGAAGAATTTCGAAAGTGTGACAGCAATCAGTGTTGAGTAATACTGTAAGGTATTCCCTGCCTGGTTTACATGATTGAAAATGATAAACAGTTGAAAACATTAGAAATTTAGAAAAGTAATCAAATGTAATCAGTTACATTACTTTAATAAAGTAATTGAAAAATGACACTACTTATTACATTTTAAGTAGGGTAACTTGTAATCTGTTACCTATTACATTTCCAAAGTAACCTTCCCCACACTGCAAATATTGCACATAACGGTACACTGTATATTTGCATAACACCCACACTGACTGTTATGTTGTTACCCTGTGCATTTATTTTGCTGTTTAGAAATAAAATGTTTCAAATAAAATTAGAGGTGGAATAATTATTATTTTTAAGTGAATTTTAAAGTTTTTTTAAGTAGATTGGAAGTAGATTTTGAAGTATTTGAAAGTAAATTTAATGACCACAACAAATTAAAGCAGGAGTGGCCAACCTCAGTCCTGGAGAGCCAAAGTCCTGCAGAGTTTACTCCAACATTGATAAAAACTCACCTGCCTGTAGTTTATTAACCCTTAAACGTTGATTAGTTGGTTCAGGTGTGTTTAATTAGGGTTGGAGCTGAACTTTGCAAGATTGTGGCTCTCCAGGACTGCATTGTGGCCACCCCTGAATTAAAGGCATAGTCCACCTAAAAAGATCTGTAATCATTTACTCACCCTTATGTTGTTCTAAACCAGGGGTGTCAAATACAATTCCTGGAGGGCTGGAGCCCTGCAGAGTTTAAATTCAACCCTAATTATATACACCTGATCCAACTAATCAAGTCCTTCAGGCTTATTTGAAAACTACATGGTATGCGTGTTGGAGCAGTGTTGGAACAAAACTCTGCAGGGCTCCGGCTCTCCGGGAATTGTGTTTGACACCCCTGTTCTAAACTTTTACAACTTTCTTTCTTTTGAGGAACACAAAAGTCTCGGTTCCCATTGACTTCCATTGTAGTTCTGTCGATACAACAGAAATTCAATGGGAACCAAACTGGGGTGCGTTTCCCAAAAGCAACTATGGTCGCAAGTTCCGTCGTTACCAATAGAGTTCAATGGAACGAACCACCATAGTTAGCTAACGATGCTTTTGGGAAATGCACCCCTGTTTGTTACTAATATTCTTCAAAATATCTTCTTTTGTGTTTCGCAAAAAAGAAAGACAGTCATACATGTTTGGAAGGACATGAGGGGGAGTAAATGACAGATTTTTTATTTTTGGGTGGACTGTCACTTCAATGCAAAAAATTTTGAATACCACGTTTTCCCATTTACAACCCATCCTTTAACCAGAACTTTTGTAGTCTTTGTACTTGGCATTTACACAATTTTGGGATAAGCCATAGGCCTATATCACTATACTACTTTGAGTTACAGACTTTTTTTAAGTGTTACAACAAACACAAAAGTGCTAAAACACTTCCCTGCCTCCCTTACCAGACATCTTCTCACATTAATTCATTAATTTACACAGTTTAGGGATCATTTCTAAACTATTGAGCAAACAAATATGTGAATTTTATATAGAAGTTTTAGTCAGTGAGCAAAACAAAAATCTAATAAAACTTGTTATAATAGGCTACTCAGTGAAATACATATAGGCTACCTGTATTATTCACACGACAGGCATTTACATTGTTTAGAAAAGTTGATTAAAGGTTTCATACATCTAACACAAGAAACAGTTAGAACTTGTGACTTAGTGACTTACCCTCTGTGTGAACCGCAGACACGTAAGTCCAGTTATAGTGTTTGATAATGTCGAGCATGGCGCGCGCCTGCAGAGTGTCAGAGGGCACGACACGGAGGAAGTATTTGAAGAGAGTTTTGTCGCTTAGGTCTATGCTGGTGGCCGAATAAGCGATCTGGGGGATGTTAAACAGCTGGAGGAGATTCTGCACCTGGATGGCCACCGAGCTGGAGCCAGGACCTATGACTCCTGCGATGGGCTTCTTGGTGGAAGGAGGCTGGGTGGAAGGCGTTCCGTCGATGCACCACTTAGATCCGTCTTTGTCGTCCCGAATAGAGATGAGGGAGTCTCGGATGAACTCGATGCTTTGCTCTAGAGCCACGGAAGAGTGCCAGCATGAGTCCCGGATCTCGCAGCCCAGGGTGATGTTGGGCAGCAGGTTCTGGTCGGCGTTGATACGGTCCAGCGTATAGAACATCGCTTCCACCCGTTGGATGCCGTATTGCTCGCGCACGTCCCCGCATTTTCTGTCGGCCACACGCTCGGCGGACGGCTGGTGGTGCACGGAGAACAGCGCACCGATGATCACGTCGCCATCCATGCGGGCGACAGACCGGGCAGCCGCGCGCTGGACCGCCGAACGCTTGTATATGTTCCCAAGCGCATGAGATGAGAGTGTCGGTAGAAACAGACAGAGGAACAGTGGAAAGTGTCCGCACGAGACACAGGGCATCTTTAAGCGTGCCATGTTCCACATTATGTGACGGGCATAGCGTGAGAGCTGTTCGTGCTAGCTGTGCTGGTTTCTCTGCAGTCCCAGATTCAATTAAGGGACCATGATGCGCACGTGAGACAACATGAATGCACCCTGACACCTGCTGAGAAAACATAAAACACAGTTAGTTAGAGAATACAAGTGCATCTATTATAAAAATCATTTTAAAAGAAAGCATCCATTAAAGGTTGGTGGAGAAACAGCGCATCATTTAACACCATGAAAGAGAGTGCTGTAACACAGGTTGATTTGTTACAGTTGAACCAAATAAAAATGAGCAACGGGTAAAATCACTATGCCTAAGGGGTGAAACCACCAGCATAAATGCTGAGATGACAGTTGTAAGACTCAAAATAAAATATAAAAGATTTATAGGACAAATAAAATGGGCTATAAAATGGTTAAAATATCATACTTTATTTAGAATATCAGTGTGATCTATGACAGAAGTGGTATATCATCAGTTTTCGTTTAATCTGATACATAAAATCCACACACGCTTTTCATCAGTCTAAAACTAGAAACACTACGTCTGAAGGTTGTAAAACTTTCCATTTATTTCTCCCCAAAAGATTGCGCAAAATAGGATACTGTATAGGCCAGTGTCTGTTATGCTTTTAGCAAATGTTTTATGCATTTTACATTTGTTTTATAATTTTATTTGCCGTTTCGAATTAAAATATTTTAATTATAGGCCTACTATTTTAAATAATAAGGGGTGGGTGGCATAACAATTATTTGAACAAGCACATTTGATTACCACAAATCGTGCATAAAATTGTAAATGTTTTTGTTGTAAGCTCAACTAGTGGGGTAGGTTGAAACAACAACACCCTTTCTAAACTATTTGACATTCATTTACATAGTTTAAGGATAAGCTGTAGGTTTACGAACTCATTTTAGTAGCAGACAAATGCCGGAATATTATATTGAAGTTTCAGACGCATAGCGTAAAGTTACATCCAAAAATCAAAATGCGTAAAATCAAAATACGCGCCGGTCTCTGTTAGATGACACTACAGAAGCTTTCTGTGAACTATGGAGGCAAACTTACCTAATTATTCAGTCTTTGCTAAATAACTGGCGAACGAGAGACTCACTGGTCGAAGAAACACATGATGACAGAATCAGCATCATTCACGGTTTGATGGCGAGGTCGTCGTTTTTGTCCTTGCAGGGGCGATTTCAGCACCGCGGACAGCGCAGACAACCAACAGTATGACGGACAGTGAATGAAACTAAGACGCGCCTTTGTAGCCAAAGCACAACTACTGGATGCAATGTGTTTGCACACAAAACCTCAGGTACTGTATGACCCTTAAAACCCAAATGCGACTAAATATACTTGTTTTCAGACAGAGATAAATTGCGCTTATCTCACAAAAATCTTAGCCTACGTGTAAATTCAGGGAAAGAGAGCAAACAGAAGCCTAAATACAACTCTTGTGCCATATGATGCCTAATAGCAAAGACAAATGTCACATGCCATACATTCAGAATCGTTTCTACGCTTGTTCTATCTTTTCCATTCAGCATTTATAGGCATAATGGCTTAATCGATTGCACTCAATGACAAATGAGCCATAATTACGACGCAATGCCTCCTGTACTCTCATTGACTGACATTGCCGCACATCTGTCTGTACCTGCAGTTACCAGGAAATACAAACAACAACAGAAACATCTGCACAGGAATGTGATCGTTACGCACCTGAGTCAATGAGACATCGCTTTACCTCCTTCTGAGACAGCTGCTGCACTGATGATATACTTCAGTTATCAGTGTACAACCCAGCCAGAGGATCTCGCTCTCTGCCTCCCTCTCTCTTTATCTGTCTCCAACATTTTGGTAACGTTAGTGGGCGGACCCACTAGACTTGGTGGTTGGCTTGTCAGTAGAAGTCGTCAAATAAGTAGTGATGTGAAGGTAAATAATATCAAATGGCACATATGATGTGGACTAATTGACAACTGTCACGATAACCGAATATCAACTATTTTAAACAAAACACTATTTTTGTGATAAAAATGTTATATGCATCTAAAAATCTTTAATAAGTTTAAAAAGTAATGACATTATAATGACAGTAATTATATTTATGTACAGACCACACAGATCCCGAACGGAAACGATCGAGCTGGCTTCAGTTGCTATGGTTACCTTAGTCAAACGCGATTTCTGCTGGTTAGGGTCGCTAGGTGAAATTAGGAACTCGGATTCATTTGTAAATGTAACTTTTTCGGTCACTGAAAACTTGTAAACTCTGTCAAAACAAACATATGAATAAACAGAAAAATCATGTAAATGGAATGTGTACTTTTAAGACCGCTTGGCCGGGCAGGCAGGCCAGGCAGAAGAGCTAAAACAAACTTGGTCAGGCTGGGAGGCCACCTGAAACCAGTTTAAACTAGCAAACCATCTTAGGATGGTTTAGCAGGTTTTATCTAGGTAGTTCAAAGTTACTAGTGAGCATTTTGGAATAGTGGAAAAAGGAACCGCTCAAAATTATAAAATGAATGAAGAGCCAGGGATGACCATCTCTGTGAATTTTTTCCTACATTCTATTCAGAAAGATTGGACTAGTAACTGCAGTATGAGAGTGAATTGCATGTTAAAGTATACAGCGCCATCTGCTGACAGAACGACGCTTCTAGTGCATCTAGACTTGACCATGTTTAATTACAGACTATAGGTTTAGGCTGTGCCAATGTATCTAATGGCAAAAATTTTCAACGCGATTTCTGCTGGTTAGGGTCGCTAGGTGAAATTAGGAACTCGGATTCATTTGTAAATGTAACTTTTTCGGTCACTGAAAACTTGTAAACTCTGTCAAAACAAACATATGAATAAACAGAAAAATCATGTAAATGGAATGTGTACTTTTAAGACCGCTTGGCCGGGCAGGCAGGCCAGGCAGAAGAGCTAAAACAAACTTGGTCAGGCTGGGAGGCCACCTGAAACCAGTTTAAACTAGCAAACCATCTTAGGATGGTTTAGCAGGTTTTATCTAGGTAGTTCAAAGTTACTAGTGAGCATTTTGGAATAGTGGAAAAAGGAACCGCTCAAAATTATAAAATGAATGAAGAGCCAGGGATGACCATCTCTCTGTGAATTTTTTCCTACATTCTATTCAGAAAGATTGGACTAGTAACTGCAGTATGAGAGTGAATTGCATGTTAAAGTATACAGCGCCATCTGCTGACAGAACGACGCTTCTAGTGCATCTAGACTTGACCATGTTTAATTACAGACTATAGGTTTAGGCTGTGCCAATGTATCTAATGGCAAAACAATTTTAGGGCTAAAAATACTGATACTGATTTCCAGGCAGTTAAGAAATTGTAAAGTATAGAAAGCTATGTCACAACTGAATTGTAAGGAATTGTACTATAGATTATAGGCTCAAGAAATAAAACGCTGTTCAATATTGATTACAATGCTGCTCTCTGGCGATGTAAAGTTGATATTACAATACAATAAAATTAGATCTTGTGAAGTAAAGGTAGAATTTTCCCACACATTATACGTTTTGTTTTGTTTTATGTTATTTTTCAGTGTATTTTTAATTTATCTTAATCCAAGATGATAACATCCTATAAAAATGGGTTGAGCTGGTCCTTAGCTGGTCATGAGCTGGTTTAAGCTGGCCATGTGCTGGTCCTAAGCAACTAGCTCCTGCAACATACCTAACCAGCATATGCTGTTTTTTTGTTTGTTTGTTTTTCAACAGGGCATTTTCAGGATAAACATCACATTTGTTTTTCGTTTTTTATTATATTATTCTTTTTCGGTTTAGCCAAGCTCTTTTGTTACATTAAATGGATAGAATTGTCATAAAATGTTGAACATTTTGAAATATCAATGTATTGTTCTTGTATTTTGAAATGTAAACAATTTTTTTTAATGTATTTAATAAATAAATTTTACGTAATTTTACGAAGCTACGAAAATACTTTTTGTGCGCAAAAGAAAAATTAGACGAATTGTTGAATAAAGTATTTTTTTCTTTTGCGCACAAAAAGTATTCTCGTAGTTTCGTAAAAATACGGTAGAACCACTGATGTCACATGGATTATTTTACAGATGTTCTTGCTACGTGTCTGGACTTGGGAACATTTCAGTTGCGTTGCTGTCTATGCAGGGTCAGACAGCTCTCAGATTCCATCAAAAATATCTTAATTTGTGTTCCAAAGATGAACGAAGGTCTTACGGGTTTGAAACGACATGAGGGTGAGTAATTAATGACAGAATTTTCATTTTGGGGTGTACTAACCCTTTAACACTTGGTTTCGCGTCAACAGAAATTTCAATTTTTGTTAATGGACTCGTCCACTGGGTGGCAGCATAGCAAGAGTTCATGATCCAATATCTGCCATGTTATTAACAAAATTCATAGCTTACTGTTTCTTCTGTACTAACACCAGTTCTGACAAATACTTAAAAAAATGTTTACAACAGTTGCTGCTGGTGGAATATCAATGCATAGTAAAATATTTTAACAAAAATGATTATTTTAATAGTTTCAGTACACTGATTCGTAAGGGCTTGAATACAAAATCCTTTAAACTGACACAATACAAGGAATTATTTTGAATTAATCTCTTCGATATGTTCAGGCGTTCGCCTGCTTCCGTTTCTCACAAAATTCGTTCTTTTTTTTCTTGCCTGTCACTCAGTATGGGCCAACACGGTCAGATACAAAAATTGTGTCATAAAGTTTTTATAAAAATAAAGTAATCTATTGAAACAACAGAATTGCTTTAAACTGAATAACCATATTTTGCATATCACATAACCTATTTGAGTTTTGGTACGTAGAGTTATGGTATCTAAAATTGTAACGTTTTTTAAAAACTAAAGGCAGGTGAAGTTGTGTGCAAAGCTGTCTTATGTCTCAAAGATCAGTGAGTGGTTGCTTGCTCCCTAAATGGCGATTGCAAAATAAACTCTGGAGATATGGACCTGTGGGCATGTCCTATAAATTACTCCCCGGCATTTTGTTGGGAGGGCTGGTTCATAAGGTAAACGTACTTTATAGTGGGTTGAAAGGTCGCTCTACAAATTATTAACAAGCCAAACAAATATTGCATGGTTTCGCCGGCTAAGCTTTGTTGTTATACATTACGGCAACATTTGATGGAAGTGTGAATGGGTATCAGCATGAAACGAGGTCGGAAATGAGGCGGGGCTTAGCGGCCCAAATGTTTAGATACGATGAGGTCTAAATAATATTATTCATATTTAAACTTTTCCTATGTGTGTGGTTTTAATTCAAATGCTATTAAAGTTTCACAGTGTCATTATTTGAGTGTAAAAATATTGCGATTAAAGTAGCATTGTGTTACCACGTGGTACATGTTACTTTTCTCGGCGTCTGTCATTATGAGCCAATCACGACTGTTTGTAAATTACCATTCAACGCAATTGTCGGTGCAGGTTTCTGTTTGATTGCTGCTCAATGGAAGACGTTTCTTTCTGAGCCGCAAAGCGCCCCCTGCAGGAATGCTATTTTTTTGTCTCACGGTTTTAAGCCACATTTGCTATCCAATGATGAAAAGAAGCAGTCACGTGATACAGAAAGCCGGAAGCGCAGCCACATCCACAGCAGCTCTGGTCGCTAGAGTGAAACTGCAGACTGCCCGACCTGAACGCCCGCACGGGGACTGAGAATAAATCAATTAGACACCATGTTTTGGAGACTTTTCTTCGTGACAATATTACTAGCCTTCTTCGGATCGTTGACAAGCCAGGAATTTGCGCAGGGTGAGTGGATTTATCATCTTAAATGTAACAGCGAAACAGCGCAAACGGTCACGCCATCTGCTACACCTTAACTGTGATTTTAATTAGGAGTGGTTGCGATTCCGGTTCCATAAAGGTTCCAGCAAGGATGCTTTTTTCGTACTTTTGAGGAATAAATGTTGGGTAATGATTCAGTTCTTATTGCATCAACTGCCATCGGCAGTCTGTTGCCAAATGACGAGGTCATTTCAGATTTCAAAACCACGGATAACACTATTAAGAAATAAATTAGTTTTAAAAAGTATATGTAGATGGACCTTTTTAATGAACCGACTTATAAGAATCACTCGCACGGTAATGTGACTACACTGTACACTGACCACCCTGTATATTTTAGTCCACTAAAAAGAACCGGTTCACAAGAGTCGCTTATTCAGGAATCGAACTACTTTGGTCGCTTCGTATGTGTTTGATTCAACAAAAATACCTGATTCTTAAGAGTCACTTGGTCTTGAACTGGAATATCCTGGTCGTGCTGTAGGTTTTGCGCTATAGATTCAGTTGTGGTGTAGTTACGGGAATCCACGTCGCTCCTTCCACACCGATGAAGGAAGGTTCGAGAACTAAAACCTTCTTTGCCGGTATTTTTGAATGAATCAATCTAAAGAACCGGTTATTCGAATCCGCTTATTGACTTTGGCCTCGTTCTGATTTTTTCGTGATTCAGATTTACTCTCTGTTTTCAATTTTGCCCAGTACTGAACTCAAGCTGGTATAGTTTTTTTATTATTATTATTTCTTTTTTTAACTGTCTGAAATAATTAATCACTTAGGCTATCTTTTTTGGTTTCTTGTCTTGGTTTCTATTTTGTTGTCTTGTGGCTCTGCTTCCATTTAGATCTATATTTATCCAGAGAATCACATGTTGGGCTGTAAAATAAGCCAGAGAATGCTCTCTCTCTCTCTCTCTCTCTCTCTCTCTCTCTCTCTCTCTCTCTCTCTCTCTCTCTCTCTCTCTCTCTCTCTCTCTCTCTCTCTCTCTCTCTCTCGCTCGCTCGCTCGCTGTCTTCTGGTGTAAATGACAGGCTTCTTTCTGGAGATGTAGACGGGGCTTTCTTTTGTGATATTTTGTTACACTCACAATGTGGGGAAAAAAAGATCTGCTGTTACTTCCATTTCACATCGACTTTAAGGTTGTCACTATGTTTTTAAATGACCTTGGTTTGTGTGTGATTTGCCAGAGACATCAGATCATGTTCACTTGGTCACAAGACTCATTGGTCCTCTTGCCAGTTTTCTGTTCAGCTACTCCTCATCTACACAATAAATGTGTTGATCTACTAGAAAAAAAGATTCTAGATTGGCATATAGTGGGCATGGCTCTGTTATCTTTCAGCTAGAGACTTGGAGAATGTTTTACTAATTGTAATAGCCTATTTTGTGGTTACTCAGTGTTCCTTGTTTTCCGGTTAAAAGGCCAAGAGATAACACTGACACAAACTGTGGCAACAAATCTAGGTCAACAAAACAAGAAACCCAATGCCAATGTGTTGCTTGAATATGACATGCTTGCTGGAATTCTCAATGATAGTTTTTTAGGCATGCAAGATATGTTATTTAATAGGTGGTTTCTTTTACAGATGAAGACTGTGGTTTATTGAGTACTTGTAAAGCATGTGGAAATGTGACTCACTGCCAGTGGATGAGCTGCTCAGGTCAGTCCCTCTTCCATGTCAAATTCAAAGCTCATATGACAACAATCATCTGTCCAGATATATGAATGAACCTTGGTTATACGCACATGAACATTTTCTGTTAAGCTTTTACTATATATTTTTCCAGGCCAACATTTTGATCTATTTGGTATGATGCACACATGCTTCACCTGACTTATTAGTCACAGTGAATTGTCTGTCTTAGCATAGTACTTGTTTCATTAATGGTAAATGAATTTGGCCTTTCAGTAGCATGTGATTTTTAAAGTTTGAATATATAGCTTTGTTTTTGCTTCAGTGGTGTTGATATCCAGTTTAGTTTGCTATCCAGTTGTTTTCCCCATTACGTAAAGAGAAAATTAAAAGCATAACCTTTAGTTTTCTTGTTCCCAGATTATAATAACATATTTTGCTACCAAATAGTCTGAGATTAGCATGGGTTTGCACATTGTTACTTCTAAACACAGACCCTGTAACTGTCTAAAGCATTCCTAATGTCGTGTACAGATAATAGAAGATTGTAAACCAGGGTTTTTGTGTTTGCCAGTTCATTGACTGCTTAATGCTGGCTTCGGTCAGTGTGAGCCTGAAGTAACTGCCCTTTTATCCCTGGAGTCCTTCTCTATGCCTCTTTGCTGATGGATGACGTGAAATTAATCCGAGAGAGTAAACATACTAATGAAACACACTGTTGCTTTGGCACTCAAGGCTCTTCAGGAAGAAAAAAAAAAGGGGGAAGAAAGAAAGTGTCCGTATCATGGGTGAAAGGAGTGGAAAATTCAAATTGAATTTTAAATGTCTTAAATGTCTATCCATTTTAAGTTAGATTTAACATAGTATGAGAGTTACCATCTACACCAGGTGTGTCCAAACTCGTGTCCTGAAGAGTTTAGCTCCAACCCCAATTAAACACACCTGAACCAGCTAATCAAGCTCTTACTAGGCATACTAGAAACTTAAAGGCAGGTGTGTTGAGGAAAGTTGGAGCTAAACTCTGCAGGACACCGGCCCTCCAGGACCGATTTTGGGCACCCCTGATCTACACCATATAAGGTATGTGTTTTTGTGTATACAGTGGTGTGAAAAAGTGTTGGCCCCCTTACTGATTTCTTATTTTTTTGCATGTTTGTCACTTTAATGTTTCAGATCATCAAACAAATTTAAATATTAGTCAAAGATAACACAAGTAAACGCAACATGCAGTTTTTAAATGAAGGTTTTAAAGAGACTGGGCAAAAATGGTCTGTATGGCAGAGTTCCAAGACGAAAACCGCTGCTGAGCAAAAAGAACATAAAGGCTCGTCTCAGTTTTGCCAGAAAACATCTTGATGATCCCCCAGACTTTTGGGAAAATACTCTGTGGACTGATGAGGCAAAAGTTGAACTTTTTGGAAGGTGTGTGTCCCATTACGTCTGGCGTAAAAGTAACACTGCATTTCAGAAAAAGAACATCATGCCAACAGTAAAATATGGTGGTGGTAGTGTGATGGTCTGGGGTTGTTTTGCTGCTTCAGGACCTGGAAGACTTGCTGTGATAAATGGAACCATGAATTCTGCTGTTTACCAAAAAATCCTGAAGGAGAATGTCCGGCCATCTGTTCGTGACCTCAAGCTGAAGCGAACTTGGGTTATGCAGCAGGATAATGATCCAAAACACACCAGCAAGTCCACCTCTGAATGGCTGAAGAAAAACAAAATGAAGACTTTGGAGTGGCCTAGTCAAAGTCCTGACCTGAATCCTATTGAGATGCTGTGGCATGACCTTAAAAAGGCGGTTCATGCTCGAAAACCCTCCAATGTTGCTGAATTACAACAATCCTGCATAGATGAGTGGACCAAAATTCCTCCACAGCGCTGTAACAGACTCATTGCAAGTTATCGCAAACGCTTGATTGCAGTTGTTGCTGCTAAGGGTGGCCCAACCAGTTATTAGGTTTAGGGAGCAAACAATTTTTCACACAGGGCCATGTAGTTTTGGATTTTGTTTTCCCTTAATAATAAAAACCTTCATTTCAAAACTGCATGTTGTGTTCACTTGTTATCTTTTACTAATATTTAAATTAGTTTGATGATCTGAAACATTAAAGTGTGACAAACATGCAAAAAAATAAGAAATCAGGAAGGGGGCCAACACTTTTTCACACCACTGTATATACAAAATATATTTAAAAAAAACAGGTGTAATGCAAAATATAGTTACTGGGTGGCAAATAAGCATATACGTTTTAACAGAACAAAAATAATAATAACCAGTTTCTGGCACTGTTGGATTTATTTTTTTTTTCTTTACTTTTCTTTTCTTACTTAAGTGACGACGTGACGTGTAGGCCAAGTATGGTAACCCATACTTGGAATTTGTCCTCTGCATGTAACCCATCCAAGTGCACACACACACACACACACCAGGAACATGGCAGCCTGGGAGCAATTGGGGGTCCGGTGCCTTGCTCAGTAGAGTGCTGTTCGGTCACTCCCCCACCTACAATTCCTGCCAGTAATGAGAATCGAACCCTTGACCTTCAGGTTAGAGTTACAACTCTCTAACCATTAGGCCACAACTGCCCACTGCCACTGCCATTTTGTCATGAATGACAAGAGCGTGCAGAGCGTGCCATCAAGCTGAGTGCCGATTACCTTGATGCAGCCAGATCAGAACACTCTGCAGGTGGTTGAGGCAGACTGGAAGCAGAGGCATTACCTAAGGAAGAAGAGCGCTTGATACATGTACACTAAGGCACATGACAGTTGTGGCCTAATGGTTAGAGAGTCTGACTTGTAACCCAAAGATTGTGGGTCCAATTCTCAGAACCGGCAGGAAAAGTAGGTGGGGTAAGTGAATGAACAGTGCTCATGGACTCAGTACATTCTTCCACTCTCAATACCCACACTCAGCTTGACGGCACACTCTGCGCAGTCATTCATGACAAAATGGCGGTGGCAGTGGGTAAATAAAGAAAAGTAAAGTACATAAATAAATTAATAAAAAATGAGCAAGGCAACGGACCCCTAATTGCTCCTGGGCGTCGCAGCAAAATTGCCCTCTGCTGCCGGGTGTGTGTTCACTACTCGCTAGTCAATATACAATTTAACATATAGGAAATTTGGCCACAATATTTATTACTTGATATGGCATGCATTAGATATAGGGCCGAAACATAAACATAGGTATACAAATTGGTAAAGCGTGATTCATAGTTTTGTATCACTGAAGCATTAGAACATTTCTGTTTTAATAGTTAGAATGTAATTAGCGTGTGAGCTTGTTGTTTGTTTTTGTGCAATTTATTTATTTTTTATTTAGAAATCTGTCTTCTGGTTAGTAGTTAAACAGTTTATATTACACCGTCTACAACAATACAGTTATAAACCACTTCCTTCGCACTTTCACAGGTTTTGTTCTCGATCTTAAATTAAACATCAGCTGTCATTCTCCACATTCAGAGCGTCTGTATTGTGTCTCTAAGTACGAGAGTATGCTTGACAGCAAGGAGAAGTGGTCTGACGGGCCTAAGCAGGTGTAATATCTGTAACTGCACCTCCCCCTGTAACAAAGCTAGCATTGTGCTGTCAGCTCCCCAGAGATGACGCGATCGGTTTACACTGATTCAGTGAAGCAACATACTGGAAATATCTGGGTCTTTCCTGCTGTAGTGCAGACTAGTGGGTAGTATAAACGGGTTAAAATGTTTCAGACTCTTTCGATTATGGGGTTGCAAATAGTTGAGAGTATTTCTTATTGTGTCTAGGTACAAAATATGGAGTAAATGCTGGTGTTCTGTATTTTGGACAGGACTTTTTGATTCACTTTGAAGGTGTTCCTGTAAAGCTGTAAAGCTATTGTTTTCATGGCCTGTTTAAAACAATGTTCAGGCTTAATCAACGTGCTGTGACGTGAGCTGTAAATACGCTCATTTGAATTATTGATGTATGGCTCTGTGTGGGTGTAGGAGAAAGGTAAGACGACCTGGTACAATGTTTGCACAACAAATATTTAAACGTTTCACTACATAAATTGCATTAGGTATTAAAACCTGTATGCTAACCTTATCTGATATCATAATGTGATAGCATGCTGTGTAGACACCTGTGTAGGTTATGATGTATGTAGTGATTCCCTTACAGATTTGTGCCACAGATTCATAGACATGAATCTGTATGTGTATATACTGTATATGTATATGTGTGTGTATATATATATATATATATAAATCGGGCTGATTTTGGGCCGATTTCTCCCCTTCCGACAATCCTAGGTAATGTCCCGGTGTTTCTAAAGATGATCTTATCAGATTTTCCTGTGGTGTGAGGTGTGTTAAGAGGGACTGAATCTGCTCGGAAGAACGTCAGAGGCGCCCCGATTGCGAATCGTAAATATGCAACATGTTGAATATTTACAATCAGAAATCCTGATGTGTGGGGGGGAACCCCGAAAACACGACACACTATAGGAGCAAAACGGTTAAATCTAGAATTTTTTTGTCCTCATGTTTGTGGTCTCTCACATCTTGAAGATCTTTTAAGATTTTAAAAATCTTTTAGTGTGTACCCAGCATTAGACAAACAGCCCTCTAATATACTAATATAGCACTTGCATAATATTGCTCTTTTGTTGGTTTTTATTGCTTCTATTGTCCTCATTTGTTAGTCGCCTTGGATAAAAGCGTTTGCTAAATAACAAAATTTAAATTGAATGTAAATGTAAATAACAAAACTAAATTTAAAATTTAAAACAAGCCCCAAATCAAATAAATAAGTAACACAAATAAAATAAATCTCTTCATATAAACAAACTAAGGCTTTGTCTGTGCTCTTTCCATTTAAAATTAGAGGCAACCACTGCATTTTAATCATGATCCAAACAAAGATGCTGCATACATGCAACATGAGCAGTTTTTAATCTAAATTACATTGTATAATTTCTAAATTTGAAGCAAAAACAGAATGGTTTGACTTCAGTTTGTGAAACTATGCATAAAAAATATCTGCATGAAACAGAAACAGCAGAGCTGAATGAGATGCAGATTCACTCTCCGCCAGCAGCGGGCGCTTAAAGCGTTTTCTTGGTTTTCGCTGTAAACAAAGCAACGCTGCACTTATGAACTTTAATATGCAGGGCTCCAGACTGCGACCATGTTTTCTGCCTGTGCGACTAAATTTTGTGTGTGGTCGCTCTGGTGCGACCACCACGTTGGTCAACTCACTCATAAGCGCTTCAATTTCTGTTGCATATGAGAAACATCAAAGGGCAAACGAAACTGAAAGCATAACGAAACAGCGCTTAGAAAGTATACCTACTCAGCTACAGCAAAAACTACGTGCATATTGAGGACACGATGGATGGTTTTCAAGCGAAAGTCAAGTAAAACTACATACGATGTGTATATGTGTATGTGTTTTTTATGTATATGTATATGTATATGTATATATATATATATATATATATATATATATATATATATATATGGTGATTCTCATAGGCACACGTGTACTGAGACAGAGGCACAGATGTTCACTCTGTTCTGTTAAGAATAGAATCTCAATGGCAGGTTTTGGGGTCTAATCTGTGAAAACCAGATTAGACCGGTTGGCATCATATTCATTCATCTGATTGCTTTAGAGAGTGCTTGTGCAGTCCTTTTAAAGTAATGAACATGTATGCATTTCCCTTCAATGTTTACTCGAGACTGGGTAGCTGAATTTGTTTTGCCGGCTGTACAAACTGCCTGAGAAGGCTGAGAAGGGTGTGGAATGCGTGGACATTTTTGCTAGTGAAGCACTTATTCAAAAAGCAAGGAATTGAAAACATCTTGGTGTTGCCATAGTATGGAATTTCAACATGAGAGTTGTACCTTTCACAAAAGCATGTGACATTTCTTTCTCAGTGTATTCTGTTTTGAGGCCATAAAGAACACAATGTACTTCCAAACACCGATCTATAGTTTAACCCACCTGTTAAGGCTTTTTCTTGGGGCTCAGTTCACTGAGAAACTCTTCTTTTGACATAAAATACTCAAAGCCCGTCTTGGTTCAGTTCAGGTCACTCATATTGGAAAGAAAAGTCTGTTATGCTTGACTCAATGTATTGTAGAGTTACAAAACAGCACAAGTTGTAGCAGCAGCCAGATGTCTTTTATACAGGCCTAAACAACATTATTTCTCAAACCTTGAGAACCTAGTTATTTGATATCTAGTAATGTATATAATGTTACTATTTTATTTATTATTTTTATTTTAATATCTTAACAAATTCCAGATGTTATTTTGCATGATTTCTACATTCTAAATTTTTTCTATATTTTTAAAGTAATTTATTTCTAAATAATTTAAGGCATGAACTAATTGATGAATATGTTTTCTGTGTGACAAGGCTTTAAGCACATATATGAGCATACACATTAGTGAATTAGTCTGTTGTGACTCTCAGGGCTTTGTGAACTTAAAGGGTTAGTTCACCCAAAAATGGCTCCGGGGGGTGAACAAAGGCCTTCTGTAGGGAATCGATGCATTTTTGTAAGAAAAATATCCATATTCAAAACGTAATAATCACTTGAATCTAGCTTGCGCTCACTGTTGTAAACCGAAGCAGTTCCAGGGGAATGATGTATGGAGGTCGACTTTGTGCATGCGCCGCTCAGAAGTGACGCACGCGGAAACGCAGCGGAGAGATCAAAACAAAACAACGATCACTAATCAGAAGTACAAAACAAGGATTTGTAAAGAAGAATGTCGGAGGATTTCGATATAAGCCAAGAGGAGACTGGTTTTCCTTTGCTAAAGTAAGGAAACTTTGCTTCCTTTGCTCCTGTTAACAAACGTTGGTTTTCACGAGACTCACTGGCGCATGCGGAGCGCTGACCTCCATACGAACTGCTTCCAGTGTACAAGAGTGAGCGCAAGCTACATTAAAGGGATTATTACGTTTTGAATATGGATATTTTTCTTACAAAAATGCATCGATTCGCTACAGAAGGCCTTTGTTCACCCCCCGGAGTCGTGTGAAACACTTTTTTTTTCTTTTTTTTTCTTTTTTTTTTATATTGATGGGCGCATTTTAATTAAGTGCTTTTGGACTGATGCATGCAACACCCGCTGAGTGCCATGAAACGGCTTGAAAGATCAAAGACAATTTTTAATATAATTCCTACTGGATTTGTCTGAAAGAAGAAAGTCATAAACACCTAGGATGACTTGAGGGTGAGTAATTTATGGGCTAATTTTCATTTTTGGCTGAACTAACCCTTTAAGCCAACGACAAACATTAGGAAGACAACAGTGTCGGTAAAGTGGATTACGAAACAATGTGTAAAATTTGAATTATTGCCATCAGTAGGAATTTCTGCGCTGAGCTGTCTGTCGTATTTGCACACAATGCTATTCATGTGTGACGGGAAGATACTCTAAATGGAAACCAGCTGATTGTGACACAGAGGTTTCTGGAAAGTCTTCCTTGATTCTTCCTACTCTCTCTTATTATTTCTTTCTTATATGAATATGACATACTGTCAGTTTCTCTTATTTCTGGGTCTATAACCTTTTTATAAGTCAAGGGAGTTTCTTTATTCTTAAAACTGATGGTATGTAAGGTTGATCGAAGAATCGATGCAATTGCCCAGTTCTTTTTACATTTTTATAATTTATTATCATTATTATTATATGCTGTTAAAAATTTTTTATTATATATATATATATATATATATATATATATATATATATACACACACACACAGCAGTCAACATTTGAAGTGGATCAAAAAAGTTAATCAAAGTTGTCCTAAGACAAGAACGCATTTTGGTTTTAGGACAACTTTGATGAAAGGTTTTGATCAAGTTCAAATGTTGACTACTATATATATATTTGGCATTTTATTGTGGCCAGCCTAAGGCACACCTGTGCAATAATCATGCTGTCTAATCAGCATCTTGATATGCCACACCTGTGAGGTGGATGGATTATCTCGGCAAAGGAGAAGTGCTCACTAACACCGATTTAGACAGATTTGTGAACAATATTTGAGAGAAATAGGC